TCATGGTATAGTCAGTTGGGTCCAGACAACCCGAAGAGGGGCAAGAAGAATGTGGCATCCACTTCCACCGCACCTGGCCAGTCTGAGGAGCCAGCGGTCATTGAGCAGCTCAGTGAGCCTTCCACCATTCCTGCTACTGATGAGGCATTGCCTCCAGGTCCGTCGTCAATTGTTGGTCCTTCTATTGCAGCTGACCCGGTAGTCCCTTCATCAAATACTCACCGGTTCACCGCAAACCAGCTCACCCACTCCCTTGCTAGTTTGAACAACTGGATGTCAGCTGCGACATCCAAGTTGTCTACTTTGACCACTGCTGTACAGGCACAGGGAGCACCAGTTACTGTTGAGATTCCTTCCTCCATTGAGGATGCACTGAAGAAGATCCTGGCCAACCAGGAAAAGATGATGGCGACGCAGGATGCCTTGACTAAGGCAGTTGGGGCACATGGCAAAGCATTGGAGAAATTGGCTCGGGAGCACAAGAAGCTGAGGAAGCAGAAGGCTTCCAAGGAGTCAGTGACACAGTTGAGAGTGGATGTGGACAAGCTCATGGGAGATCAGTTGCCACTTGATTTACTATTTGGGGACTCGGCTGTAGAGCCAGCAGCTGCACATGTACATGAGGAGGAGCAGAGGCCAAGGAAGAAGAGGAAACTCCCTAGCACTAAGGGAGTTGTGATTGAGGTAGCACCAGTTCAGGAGAGTCCCTCAACTGCCCCACTAGTTGATGAGTCAGTTCTTGAGCAGGCATCTGTCTCAGCAACACAGCAGCAGCAGGCCGGAGACCAGTCTGAGGTCCCCGCCAGTACAGAGGACATAGGAGCCACTGACCAGCACAGGGTGATGGATGAGGCTTGAGGGGCCTTTCTATATCCTTTCTTTCATTTTTGTGCTTATCTTGATAGTTAGCATTGGGGACAATGCTAGCTTTTATTCGTGGGGGTGTGGCCCTACTATTTGGATTGACTGTTGGATTACTGTATATATTCTTTTACTTTCTGCACATTCGTAGTTGTAGTTGGCCTGCATATAACTGTTCATTCCAGATGCTCTCAAACTCTATGTATATATTCATTCCCCCCGGTTGTATATTCTACTCCCCTTTTGTACATATTCATTCGGTTTTCATTTTGGTTTTCTATTTTTCGTTAAAATTTTTCGTTTTAGTTGCAAAGTTAGGCTCGTAGCCTTTTTGTTTTGTTTTGGCGTTTGCAATAAGCCCTTGGTTTTCTTAATGCCACGGTTCTTTCCAAGGGTAGATGTTGTGCGAACCGGGTGGCTCTTCCCAATGATAGATGGCGTGACAACCTTCTTAAGGGTTTGAGTCCGTTTTTGATTTTTCTTTTTGATTTTCAAGTTTTTGTAGTTAAGGGTACCTCAGGCAAAGCTTCACTTGGGCCTAGCACATTTGCCTTTGATCCTATGGTCAAAGACATTATGTTGTGTGTAGGATGGTGAAAGTTGTGGCCTTGAGACTCTTGTGTTGACCAAACAATCATCATGTGGTCATTTTGGGCCATTGTGCGCTTGAATCATATCTAAGGTCGTTGTGGGCCCTCGACTCCGTCTTAGGCAATCCTTGAGTGTGTGTAGTGAGAATTCGAATCGTGAGCCCAAGTACCGAGCCGATGGTCTAGAACTTGCCCTGAATGTTTGTTGAGGCGAAATCATAGGTGGAACTTGCTTTGAGACGTGATTATAGGCTCTCCTTGATCCAAAAATGCAAATTTTAAACAATTTCCATGACCTACCAATGAAATAATCCCTAGTTCAACCCTTTCGAGCCTTAAACCTTTTTCGTTCATGAACCAAGCTATAAGCCTATACCCATTCTTAACGAAACCCTCTCTTGGCACCCAAATCTTCCCTTGAGTAAATGGCAAATGTCTAAGTTTGGGGGGGAGAGCAAGAAAGGCATCAATATGGTAAAAAGGCGCTAAAGCAAAAAGAAAAGGAAGGTAATGGAAAAAAAAAGACAAAAAGACAAAAAGAAAGACAAAAATGAATAAGAACCAAAAAGGGAATCCAAGGACAACAAAAAAGTGAAAAAGGTGTGGAAAAGTGATAAAAAGGAGAAAGGGTTTGAATTGCAAAAGAAAGAGTGACAATGTGTCTCTCTAACCCCTTGAAGGAAGTGAATTACTCAATTGAGTCAAGAAAGTGTGCCAAAATAAATCAAAAGAAGTGTTTGAGGGAAGATTGAACCCATTTGAACAAAAATACGTCCTACCTTTAGCCAAAGTCTTCACAATAACTCCTCAAAAGCCTTATATGATCTTGAGTTGAGGGAAGCCTAAATTAGTGGATACTTACATAAGGGGCAAGCATATGGTACTTAGAGTCGGACTTAGGGCCTTTTCTTTGTGAGAGATGAGAGAGAAGTCCATTCACCTCGATTTGTGTGCAAATACTCTAAAA